TTATGGATGATTTTATGGATTAAATTTTATGTATTATACTTGAATAAATACAGTACTAAAAATCAACTTCACATGAAGAGGAAAAACATCTTCTGAACTGTCTTGTTTCGTTGACATTTCRTATATTTACCTGTATATTATAGTGCTTTTCCTGTCAGAACACACTTTCAGCCTCTCTGTTCTCCACTCTGCAATCTGATTTTGTGTTTCCAGCAGATGCGGGAACGACGGCGCTTCAAGGTCGCCGCAGCACAAAAAGTGCCTGCTTCTCGCCAAAGCCATCCTCTGCTTCCTGTATCTCACCCCGCTGATCGCCCACCTATTGTAAAGTGCAGTGTGTCTTTTATCATTCGGAGAGAAAATTTAAGCTGAAATTCTTATGGTAAAAAAAGAAAGGTGCACTTTGAGTAATAAACGCCTCAGAAACATCACTTCTAATCATCTCATAAGGAAAACCCTTTTTTTACTAAATGTGCAGCAGAGTAAGAAGTCACGACTTGTGTCAGTACGACAGCACTTTTAATCTGATTCCATTAAACCACAGGTTCTCTTGTGATAGATTTTTCTTCTCCTCAGTGACAGCACATTTTGATTGAAATTTTGTGGTCAGGAAATCATCGTTCAGACAGTAAATCCTCCGTCTCTCTGTTGCGCCTCAATCTATCCAAGTGAAAATCCCATCTTTTGTGACATGTTTTGTTGGCAAAAAGAAGCTCGGTTAAAAAAACAACCTAGAGATGCAAAAATATTTGATTGATGTGAGGAATGGGAAATCAAAATGGGAGAGTGTCCCTGAGAAGCAGTTTTGTGGGTCTCTTACTGGTATTGTCAGTTCAAGATAAAGCTGAAGGAACTCGACTAAAAAGAAAAAAAAAACAGAAAGGAAATAAAAAGGAATGTTAGAAAAAAATGAAAGAATGTACAAAATGAAAAAAAAAACTTCTTCATGTATAATCTTATGTGAATTCAGAGCTGAGAAATCCTTGATTGATTACGTATCGCCTGTTGTTTTTTAATGCCAGAGTTCTGAACTAAGGCGATCCRGTTGGTTAAAGCTTGAAAATAACGTCAGAGGCAGCTGGTATAAGTGGGTWAGTAGGGCTATGCCCTCCCTAGTGTTTACACCAAAAATGGTAAAATACCTAAAAAGCACAAATTAAAAAAAAAATAATTGTACCACATTTTGTGAAATTTACAACAAAAATAGAGCCAAACTGTCTGGAGAAAATCCCAGAGTTTTTTCAAACTTCTCACAGCCCCGTTCATTTAATGTCTTTCATGGTGCAGAATGATTGACGGACATCTTGTCCAGCCCAGGGCCAGTTTTGTTCAGCCCAGGGTCAACCCACAGCCACAGGCTTTAGCCAATAAGAGCACAAGTTTATGTGGGTGTGGTTTGGTGTAGACTGAGTCAGTGAGATGGAAAGCAAGATTAGCATAAACAAGGTGAATTATTTAATTTCTCAACGTTTTCCTTCTTGTCTTTTGCAAATACAACAAAAATAAAGGCAGCGAAATCAAAGTTTTTGTTTAACCTGGTTTCTATTAATTTATAAATTTTTTACAGTTGTCTTTTAGGACATTATGTCAATTTCGAGGAGGTTTTCTTTATTTCAAATTGGATGCTTCTGTTAGAATTCAACCTGCAGCATTGCTCAGCAGGTTGTGAAACTAAAACATTCGTCAGTAAAATTGACTGAGACATGCTTGTTTTTGTGTTAGATGTGGCAGCCATCTTGAATTAAATTGACACCAGCAGTTCGATATTTACAGATAAATATCTAATGATTATTTTCCAAAAGTTTCATTAAAATTCTTCTGTTTATGAGATATTTTGCTAAAAGTCCGACACAAACACACAGACACAGACAAAAACAAAGGCAAAGGGATGAGTAAAGTACAACAGATTTACAGGTTTAAAGTTTGTTTGTGGAGCAAATCATCTCAAGTACCTGCATAAGCATTTTTATATTTCCCCTTGCTCTAACGGTAATCTCTGTTTTAATGTCAAGTACACATATAAAAAGGGATTACAGCGCTCCACCTTCGAGACCAGGATTTGTTTTACTCCATAAAATCACCATATTCATTTTAACTACACCAAAAATGTAAGAGAAATAAACAAAACAAGTTTTACTTGAACTAAATCCAAAACTGAACTGAGGTTTAATGTAAAATACTTTATGTGTATAAATGTTTTGCAAAACAGTTCAAATGAAAAAAAA